CGGCCTGTTAATGTGCTCCACTCCGGGTACTGTAAAATAAACTTCCACAGAGTAAAATATTCTGAAGCAGCACAAGAATCTTTGCCCTAATATACAAAGCTTTTTTGTTATAATCAAGGAGCTTTTCTGATGAGGTATTTGGGCATACCTATACATTATAGGAGGCTCAAGAAATGTCCAACAGTCCATCTACACTAGGAGTGCTATAGGTCGATCAAATCTTGTACAAACAATAACCCAAAGAGCTAGCGTCCGGACGTCCGGCCGCAGGAGGCATTCGAACATTGCTCCCGTTCGAGCGCATCCACCGCATCCTGTTCCGTCCCCGCGTAACAGAAGCGTGCTTCCGTTCCGTCCCATCGTCGTAACAGAAGCGCACCCGCAACCCCGCAGCGCCGTACAGATAGGAGCGCGCCCGCCTCACCCTGACTATGGATGCGCAATGTGGGGGCGTCTGCTGGCCTTAGGTGTCCGCATGGTGACCCACGGTGGTGCCCCAGCAGCAACAGGGGTTGCGGTAGGTGAGTCACACTGCAACATATGCACGATCTACTTTTGGAACATCTAAATACAACACTTGCAACATACGTCTGAAGACAGATGAAACACTTGAAACATGCATTTGAAACACTTGAAAAACACTTGAAACCATTGCAAAACATATACAACATCCAGATAAAACACTTGCAACATATGTGTGAAACATATGCAACATCCAGATAAACACACTTGCAAAATAAGTCTGAAAAAACAGATGAAACATTGAGAACAGAAGTTTGCAACAGACGTGTATAACCATTGCAATATATGCAACATCCCGATTTTTTTAAAACATACATATGAAACACTTGTAGCATACCTCTAAAACATCTGAAACACTTGAAACATACGCTTGCAACATGTGCTTTCATGACAAACGGGCGAGCGGAGCACTGCACAGCAAGATCCGGCTCTAGATCTCGGTGGAGAATGAGGATGACATTGGACAGGCGGCTGCGCGGCCCCCCGTGAGCGGCGGCGGCCCCGGCGAGCGGCACCCGCAGCGGAGGCGGCAGAGGCGATCGAACACGTGTGGTCCCATACTAGAGAAGGTCGCGGTGGGTGGGTGCCGTACCAGCGGCGTGGTGCCCCCACGCTAGAGAAGGCCGACGAGGAATGTCGCAACACTGTGCGAGTTGAAAAAATGTTGCTATCTTTCTTTTTTTGAGAAGCTATGAAGGACGATGGAGGAGAGCAGTCCTGTTAGGCTGGTAGCGCACAGGGCTAGAAAGCGCGGCGGACGCCCGCACCACACACCACAGCATTTTCGAACAATAATAGACAGTTTTGGTGTGTTAATGTGAAGGAGAAATAGAGTCAACTTCGATATTCTGCCTGGCAAGCTTTGGGCCCATTGAGTCCATGCGGGGAGAGCGCGTTTGGATTCGTGGAGTTAGCTAGACCTGATCTACCGATTCGGACTAGTTAATATAATAGTAAAGATATGTTATTGTGTATATAGACGTATAGGTGCACATTAGAGTGTAGTCTGGGCCGCCATCGAACGAGAATAAGGTCTCGCCTAAGGATCGAAACGGTCGGCACTCCCTATTTAACCACTTTCGATTTAGCATTTTAGTCTGAAAGATAGGAAACAAAACACAAATCTGGAAAGAAAAATGGTGTCGGACATTGGAAAAGGAGCTCTAACACATCGATAACGATTGAGAGCCGGGAAACTGATATCTGGAACACCAAACCATGTAACCATCACTTAATAACTCTTCAAACATTCAGGTAAACAGCATGGCTACGGTACTAGACAACTATATAACGTTTTTACTAGATATATGTTTATATTTTTCCAACAAGTTACATGAGTAATTTTTAGTTTTTAGTGAATCGGCTGACTAGCAGATACTTGTACTAATAATAAGATATATTTGGGAAAGACAAATCGTTGGAAAACCAAAGAAAAGAAACAATCGTTGGAATAGGCTGAACTGCATATCGCTAGAATGGGCCTGCAGAAGCACTTCTCTTCTGATGGGCCAACAGATCGCTGCAATGGGCCTGCCCAAGAACCTCATGCTTCTCTAACCTAGTGCTGTTCGCCTGCAGATTGGCCGGAAACCTTTGACCTCTATAGACGCTCTATGCAAGGGAGATGCTACATCTCGTTTCCCGCGCACTACTCGTTTTGTGCGCCTAGGCGGGGGCCGCGCCGGCCGGACGTGTCCTGCGCGGGCACCTGCCCGGCGATGCCCCAGTGCAGTAGCCGGCGGTAGGTGGGTCCCATTTAACATGGGTAACATCCGATCGACATACATCCGAAACAACTGAAACACTTGTAATATACGTCTGAAACACTTGCAAAACACCAGAAAAATTTGGAAAGCATGTGTGTAGCCATTGCAAAACATTGCAACACATCTAACACTCGAAAACACTTAGTCACTTTGCGAGTGTTACATTACCTGAAAACAGCCATATCCCATCCAAACAAAATGGAAGATATAAACAAACATCACCAACACATATATATCATCAAAAGACATATATATCACCAACACCACATATATATCACGATGTTGTATCATTTCTCTTTATAGGCAAGATCAATGAGACTAATTTGGTGAAGGTTTTGAGGATGTGTCGATTGGCGCACAAAGGAGGAAGACATTGCGACAAGATAAATATATATATCATTTTTTCTTATTCTTAGTTTCTACTCATGTACAAACACACCACTAGTTTGGTGGTTTGAAGCGAATAAGCGAAGGTGGCGGACTACATGAGGGCCAAGACTTTCTTGAAGAAGCCATCCTCCATTGCTCGGCCGGCCTCCCGTGTACCCTCTCCATCTTCTCTCCCGTATCCTCCTAATGAAAAATGGGCTATATTCCCCAATGTTACAATAATACGAGAAAGGTATGAAAAAAAGAGCAGCGAATAAAAAAACAATCTCGAGTGCCAGAGACTCAAGCCAGTGAGGAATACTCGCCGAGGCAACGTATGTCGAAAAAAAAACAGATGAAACATTAGGAACATACACTTGAAACATACATATATAGTTATTGCAACATATACAACATCTCGATCTACTCTTACAATATCCACATAAAACATTTACAACATACCTTTAAAACATTTAAAAAGATACGTTTGCAACATCCAATGTATCCGGATACGGGGCTCTCCTCCTCCTCTCGGCATCAGCAAGCGGGGGCACCATAGTCGTGGGCAGTGAGTAGGAGCACGAGGCGAGAGCACTTCAAGGGGAGGCGTCATCCGCGCAAAGAGGAGCACACACGTGCAAAAGTAACTCCCTCGGTGGCCAGCTAGCTCGTTTATTTTTTTTTGCAAGTTTGAACATCACGCCCACGCATGGAAACTTGGGAACTTTTCTATATTTCTTTAATTTATTTCATTTGATTGAATTTTCTTGGATAATTCAAATTATTGGGAAAATGACATTCCGCGCACGATGCTTACCATCTCGTTCGCCCTCTTCATGAATCATGAAACTTTCGAGATTCTTTTTGCAATTCTATATGTGACAACGAAGGCCGAAACCTTCTCAAATTTTTATCACAGCCTCCACATATGATATCATAGACAAGTGAGATGATTTTGACTTCGTTTGTTTTTTATAGAATTAAAAACAACTCGACCAGTAGCTCTGTGAACAAGATTCGGCCTCACATTATTTAAATAACATGAATATCATTTTCCATTCATTTTTTCATCATTATTCAATGACTAGCAGTTATAATTTGAATTATCTAGGAAAATTCAATTAAATGAAATAAATTAAAGAAATATATAATTTCGTGTATTGTATGAGGGAGAACAAGCTTTGTGTTTTCTCAAATCACTTTGCAAACCATAAAATAATAATCCACGATACGACCTCTTCTCCGATAAAAAAGCACTTTCGGCAAAAGTGCGGAACACTCGACAAAGCCGTCTTGAAGGAAGGTCATTTAAAAAGGTCGGTCTCCTTTTTCTTATCCTTATCTGGCGTGTGCAACGAAAGGAATGGAAGCAGGCACGATAATAAAAAAAAGTGAGGCCTACTGGTATTGGGTTAGTCTGCAGGCCGTGCGGTGCAGGCTCAGGAAGGTGCATCCGTCCGGACGGCCTGCACACATCATTGTCGTCTTTATAAGTGCTGATAACAATACATATAATAATAAATAGTTTTACATACAGCTCAATGTATACGAGGCCGGATATATTTAATTTCAGACTTTTTTTTGGTGTTATCTAGTATATCTGGATTCTGGAGTAGTGTTGCCACGCATGCAGCATCATCGTCAACAATCTGGACTTTGGAGAGGGGTATGGTTTGGACTTCGTCGACGTACGCGCTATTTTGTACGTTATTATGTTTGTGTGCGTGGTTATTACTCGGCCTTTTAATGTGCACCGCTATACTAGTAGCATCTACGTACGGCAGATCATCAAATAATCTCGTGAATGATTTAATACGCTGTCCAGTAATCTCTTACAACCAGTACCTATTCCGTATCTGCTGTGTGCCCATGCATGCCGAAGCAACAAACACAAGTGTTCTTCTCCAGGCAGAGAGTAGCTAGTGCGTGCGTGCATGCATGCATGTAAAGATTCAACTCACAGCGCCAAGAAGAACTACTCGTTTATTTGCAATTGTTGACTTGCCTTGCCTTTGCCAGGAACACGATCTCAGCATAGAAATCCAATAACAGCTCAGCTATCCAATAACAGCTCAGCTAGGATACTATGTAAGTTGCAGTTCGTTTCATTCATTCATAATTTCATATTCTTCCTTCTTCCATCGATCGATGCACACGAGAAAAAACAGCAAAAATAACAGGATCCAGCGACTACACAATTGCAGTGAGCTAGTAGGTCGGTGTGCTCACTGAAACAAACCACGCACACAACCCATCAAACAAACAAATGGACAGGAGCACTCCAGCTAATTAACCATGCATGAATGCACAAGCACGCTCGATCTGGCCGCTCCGAAGTCTGATCTACGCCTTGCCCTCGTTGGCCTTCCTGAATGCCGCCGCCTGCGCCGCGGCCGCGCCGTCAGACCCGCCCGTGGCCGCCGCCGCGAACGCGTCGCGGACCTGCTCCGTAGTGTAGGGGAAGCCGGCGCGGGTCATGGAGTTGAGCAGCGCGGCGGCGCCCTCGCGCAGCAGCGCGCCCGTGCCGTCCGCACGCGTGTTGCCCAGCGCGTCCTGGATGCTCATCACGTCGGCGCCGCCCACGCTGCCAGCCGCCGCGCCGAAGAAGTGGCCCATCGTCCCCATCGACGACGACGACGTGCTTGGGAACCGGCCGCCGATCGCTGACCAGATCTCCATCGGGTGCGACCTCCAGTAGCTGCTCGATTGTTCGTTGATGGAGAGTAGACAAGATTTTTTTTTTAATTTGTTCATCAGTGACTGAGCATGCATGCATGCTGACCGAAACTGTGCATAAATGGACGCGTCATGATGTAGTAGACTAGTATGTATTACAGTGGCTTACTCGCAGGTGCCGAAGCTGTGGGGGTCCATGGCGACGAACGGCGTCGGCGACGAGGTGCCGATGCCGCCGTGGGAGGGGGAGTCGCCGTACGCGGGCGTCGGAGAGCCCCCATTGGCGCCACCATGGGCAGGCGACGGGGACCCGCCTCCGTAGGCGCCGCCGCCGCTGGGGGTGGACGGAGACCCACCGTACGCGCCACCTCCGCCGCCAGGGGTGGATGGAGACCCACCGTACGCGCCGCCGCCGGGAGTGGACGGAGGCCCACCGTAGCCACCACCGCCGGTGGAGGGCGACGACGGAGAGGAGCCGGAGCCGCCGTGGGACGGGGAAGGCAGCGCCCCGCCGTGCGAAGGCGTCGGCACGTACCCGCCGCCGCCGCCGTGGGACGGCGTCGTCCCGGTGGAGCCGGAGCCTCCGTGTGACGGCGTCACGGGCGTGATGCCGTGCCCGCCGGTACCCGGGAACGAGCGCGGGTCCATCCCCGGCACGCAGTCCGGCTTCTTCACGTCGTCACCTGCATGCGGCGGTGCAACGGTATTACAAACACGAAGATCAACGCAAGCTCGCCCTGCACCCTCGTCAGCATTGTTTAATCATATCGTCGATACAACTTACACACGGCAGAGCAGCTGAACACAGCTGCAAGAAGATGTACGTACCTTGGCTCGCCTTCTCGACGGGTCCGGTCCTGGGCTCGACCACGGCCACCAAGGCCTGCGCGGCCAACGCGGCGACCACGAAGCTCGCCAGGAGAGATCTCCCCGTCCTCCGCGCCTCCATGGCAGCTGCTGCTGGAAACTGCTCAGTGCTCACTCCTCTGTTGCTGAGTGGAAGTGCTGCACTGTGACTGTGGAGTGGTGGTGTGGTTGGAGCGAGATGAGCAGGCAGCGTGGGAATAAATAACGGGAGCAGAAGCTACCAGACTGGCGCCATGGAGAATTGAAAGCGAGCGTCGTGAATTCACAACACAGCCGGTAGTTGGCGAGGGAATTCAATGCATGCGCGCGTCGTCAGCCTGTTCGGAAGACCGTATTCGTATTAGATCGTGTATTATTTATTGCTGGCTAGTTTGATGGGAGGGAAAAACACCGTTTCTGGCTGGAAATTTACGATCGTTTATGACCAAACGAACAGGCTATGCCTCAGTTCCCACCCTAAAACTTTACGTCATGTCACATTAAATGTTTAGACATATAATATTAAATATAAACTTAAAAAATAACTAATTATAGTTTATGACTAATTTATAAGACGAATCTCATGGTATTTTTTAATTCATAATTTAAAAATAAAGTGCTATAATAACACATGTGTTAATGATAAATTAATTAGACTTAATTAATTTATCTCGTGGTTTATCGACAGATTCCGTAATTTATTTTTTTATTTGTATGTGAACCCATCGTACAACCCCCCGACGTGACGCTCCGGACACTGGATTTAAACGAGGCCTGTGTATCCACCAATGGATGATGATCCGTCCGACTGTCCGAGTAGGAAGGACGGAGTAGGGCAGGCGTGCGGACTGCTGCATCGAAGCAGGCTCATGCATGCGCTGTTCAAGCGGCTTTATTGGATGGGTAGTACACCGCCTCCGTCTCACTGTCTCGATGCTTTCCTTTTTCTTTTTTTTCTTTTTTTTTTTGCCTGAACTTCTATAGTACAAATTATAGTATCTGTACTCTAGACAACACACTCACATCACCACACGCACACACAATGCTTTCCTTTTTTTTACTCGGATCAAGGGTAGTCGCTTAATGCAATGTATTCAAATAATTTTGAGACTAAATAGCAAGTGTGAAAAAAAGTAACTTGTTATGCCCCTCACTAATTAGTTAGGACATGATTGATGCACCAACTAAATTTTAGCCAGCTAAATTTAGTTGTTTGGTATCCAAACGACACACTTAAAAGGCCAGGTAAAGTTTAGCTAAGATTAGCTACTTCAATCCAACAAAAGCCAACTAAAATTTAGCTGAGTCTATTAGCTGGAGTATTCAAACACCCCAACTAAAATTTAGCTAGAAACGCTTTTAGCTGGCTAAAGTTTAGCTTTGAAATTTTAGCTAGCTAAACTTTAGTTGGGTGTATCCAAATAGGCCCTTAGTTTGGTTGCAGACATATCATTAACTAGGACTAGCAAATACATGATTCAATTTAGATAAAATAGTGTTCAAAAGTCATGCATGGATGTGGTTTAAAAGGCATAAACGTAGATTGGGTTAAAAAATTTAGAATATCTTGTAATTTGGAATAGATATTAAAACATCGATATACTCCCTCCATCTCAAAAACTTGACCTTGCCCTTGTTTAGTTCCATCAACTTTGCACCTCCAAAGTTTGCACAGTGCAAGATTCTCCATTACATCACATCACATCAAATCTTTGGACACATGCATGGAGTATTAAATGTAGGTAAAAAAACTAATTACATAGTTTGGTTGTACTTTACGAGACGGACGTTTTAAGCCTAATTAGTCAACGGTTGGACAATTATTACCAAATACAAACGAAATGCTACAGTACCTCTACAGTGCACAGTGTTTTTTAGATGTGCAGAGTTTGGGCAACTAAACAAGGCCCTTGCACCTTTCTCTTCGTTCAATACATCTCTATCTCTATTTTCTAGAGATACTAAGGTGTTTTGCCTTGAGCATTGGTATCATCCTTAACCGTCTACTTTTTTTATATCTAGAGTACCTTATATTTCAAGACATCGGGAGTTCCCAATGAATTGGATGTTGCAGGCATTGCTTGTCGTGTGCTCTCTCCGTTCCAAAATAAATAACTTTTTTTACTTTTAGACATCTCCTTTGACCATTCATTTTATTCAAAATTTTTGTATAAATATCATCTACTTTGTTATAACTTATTTTATCATTAGATATACTTTAATAATGATTTATTTATTTTATAATTTACAGAAAAAATTTCAATAAGACGAATGGTCAAACAAGTTGTCTGAAAGTAAAAAACGTCACTTATTTTGGGACAGAGGGAGTACCCTTCATTACTGGTCCATCTTCACGTGATATGATCATCCTCATCTGTGTTCCATTGCACTCTTGCGATTTCTTCCCATGGCGCTAACAAATTCTTAATTTTAGTATCCGTTGAGATTGGTAGAACATGTTTAGTCCATTGGTTGTTGTTAAGGGCCTTGTATTGAGATTATCTTTCTGATCGCCTTTGTGTATATAGATTTGGGGAAATGCTTCTTTTTTCGAGATCGTACCCAAGGGCACGTTTTCATTAAGCAGAAGTAGAGTTTAAGGTTACACAGGACTAACAAGTAATCCAAGGATTACTCGAGAAATCCCACAAACACAAACGAACAACAAGAAAATACGATGGGGGAAGGGTGGGACCTCCACCACAAAACCCCAACCAACTTTGCCTGCAAAAGAAAATACATCCGCGCAATGGCCGCCAACATAGGCGGTGAAGCCGTGGTGGCAAAGCATCCACCGGTAGAAGACCAAGCAACCAGCAGTAGGGCGGCAAAGCATCCGTCAAAGACAACACGGAGCGGCAAAGTATCAGCTTGAACAAGATCAACCAACACCACAGTGGAAAAGTATCCGCCCAAACAAGAACCACGGTGGCAAAGCATTCGCCCGAGCACGACATGGCAAAGCATCCGTGGAAGAGTGGGTCCAACACGCCCTCAGTAGCTAGCATGAGGGGGCACCTAAGGCTAACTCGGCGGCAAAGCATCCGCCCGAGCAGCGACGACGGCAATGTATCCATCACAGAAGAATCAACGGCGGTGACACCAAGCAGGCTGGACAGACCATTGCGAAGACAGGCTTGAAGGACACGCAGGCATAGCATGAAGAAGCGAATCCGGTGGGAGCAACGAAAGATGGGAAGCACTGGTGCTCCAGCGATGCCTTTAGGAAGGACCATGACATCCACAGATGCCAACATCGCTGGTAGAAGCGCACGAGCAGGTCATGCGACCCAACCTGCCCTGACAAACAGGATCTTCGACGATGCCTCCAACAAGGCAGATGACACGGCTGCGCCACCGCCGCCACCCTAGAGGAGACAGGGAGGGCTTTCACCCAGAACCTGTAGTAGGAGCAGGCCACCCATGCACCGCACCAGCCACACCAACTGCACGCCCTCAACCCCGGCCATCAGATCTGGCAGTCGCGCGCCCGGTAGGTGGCACTCCAACCTAGGCCAAGGCCACCAGGCACTAGCACCGACGTAGATTGGGTGGGAGGCAGGCCACAGCGACGCCTGCCGACTGGCTATGGGACGCCTCTGACCATGGCCCACCCGGCAGGCACCGGCCGACCCATGCCAGTCGCCGTCAACCGAAGCAGCAGGCCTGGCATAACACAGGTTGGCCAGAAGAGACCGCTTGCCACTCCGTAGATCCACCTCGCCAGGCACCGGTAGGCCCGGACCCTAGCCGGCCGTAGCCTCCAGGAGCCACACATGGGCTGCCTAGGATAGGACACTGGTCGGCGCAATGCGCCTAGATCCGGCGATGCCCGATGTAGATCTAGTGAAGGGGCAGGCAGATTCGGCCTACCGATCGGCCAACCCGTCAGAGAAGCTTTAGGGAAGGGCAGGGTGGTGGTGGAGAGGGTGGGGAGGATAAGGGTGAGGAAGAAGGCTATGTGACGGGGATCTTTTTGGGGCCACCGTGGGCCGCCGCCGCCTCATGCCAGAGGGCGGCGGCGGCGGCTGGAGAAGAGGCGGAGGTGGGGCTTTTGGAGCTGAAAGTGAAATCAAGCCCTAATTGTGGGTTTTGGTGATAATGACCACGCAATTAGAGAACTAATGAGATTTATCGAGATGACAAGCAGGGAATTTATATTCGAAGATGCTACATGAAATGGAGGAGCCCCCAGTTGCAAATGTTGATGGCTTTAAACTCAAAGGAGGTTTAAATTCTTTTATATTTTGAATTTGAGTATAAGAAAAGCTGTACTATAAAGGGGGCATAATGCTTAAGCTAATATGTGCTACCAAGTGCTCAAACATACGCATGCATCCTCAGATTCATAGCTAAGACAGTCTACACTTCACTCTTACCTTTATTGTCTTACGAGGTGCGACACTACCGCACTTGAGCCGTGGCACTGCCGCGACTTAAGTGACCGTTGGGGGCTAGGGGTATTTATACCCTTCCCCTTCCTCCCCAACGGCTCTCTGCCTCTTCTTCCTCACTTCAGCTCATCCAAAACAGAAAGGAGCCTCTCTCTCTCTCCCTCCATTTTGACCTTGAGCCCTCAAGCAAATCCATTGATTTCCCTATCAATCCTTGAGAGAAAAGGATCCAAAACTCGATTAGAGAGCAGCTCCATTGATTTCCCAACTCAAAAGAGCACTTGGTTCATGTTTTGGCCGGCGGTTGTGTTTGTTACTCTTGGAGCTTGGCTCCTAGCCGGCTAGAGCGTCGTCCGTGGAGCTTGCCAACTTATATGGCAGCCTCGGAAGGTTTGTAACCATCTCTTGAAGCTAGTAAACTCATCCCTCATCTCAAGAGTTAAGTCTCTTAACTTGAGAACGAGGAATGGTTGGAAAGCCCTAAGCCTTAGTGGCTAACCTCAACAACATGGAGGTAGGCAAGCCTTGGTGGCGAGCCGAACCACGGGATAAATTATTGTGTCACTTGTGCTTGATTTATATTATTTGCATTTCATATTGTTGGTTGAGGTGGTTTCTAGGGTTTCTAGTTGATCTACTTGTGTGTGGTGTTCCTACAACTTCTAGCTCTTGATCTGTGACTATCATACCTATAGTAGGCTAAGAAATT